AGATCGGAGCTCCAGGGTCTAGGAGTAGGATGGTGGTCCCAGATTCCCTGAGATCCTGGAGCTCAGAGCCAGTTCTTCCCTTTTCCTCTCAGGGGACCTAGCACCAGCACTGTTTTCCATTCCTGAAAGATTTTTCCAAGATCCTGACTCCAGGCCAAAGTTTCAGAATTTCAGGATCACCTCCCACCAGAAGGCAGGGGAGGCTGAGCAGGGAAAGAAAAAAAAGAGGGCATAACCCAGAACATAAACAGGGTCTCCTCTCTGGCCCTGACTCTCTTTAGAGACTTCAGACGAAGGAATGAGAGACAGCTTTTCTAAAGGGTTTTCTGAAGATCGTTTCCCAGAATTGTAAGAAAATCCCAAATGAGAAAAATGAGGCAACGTGAGCTGAGCCCTCTCATAAACAAGCAAATACACATACACATACGTTGGCCACTTGGTATCTCTGCACCACCTGCTACAGAAATTCCTTCCCCAGCTCTCAGCCTCTTTCCTTTTCCCTCTCATCCACATCCCCCTGGAGTTTCCTGGTTTACACTGAAAAGTAGGAACACCCCTCCCAACTTCCTTCCCTCCCTGTTAATAGCATTAGCAAGGACAAAGAGGGAATGCTGGCCCCACCTCTTCCCTCAACCTGGGCATCAAGCTCCCTCAAGCTCTCATTACTTGACTACACCTCCCAGCAGGCAAGAGGACCCAGGCACCGGGCATGCTGGGACTTGTAGTCTCTATTTGCCATAGCTCACTTAGTACTATTGTGGGCATCCTACTTTATTCTGTCCATCCCTCTGCCTTTTACCACTTACAGAGGCATTGAAGGGGTGTTTTCCGTGTTCTGAGCATAGGAGGGTCCCAACCTCTCTTAGCATTTCCTCTTAGTTCCAGTTGTGTCCTTTGGGTCTCCTTTTACAATCAGTTCTCCCTGTCAACTACTCCAATCCTCTCTCACCATTTTAGGACTCTCTAGAACCTAACTCTCCACTACCTCTTCATCTGTCTCCACCCAGAATTTACCTGCAGCCCTGTATCAAAAAAATAAAAAATAAAAAAAATTCAGCTCTGATCTCTCCTTTACAGCCTCCCAGAATAAAAACCCACATATTCCACACCAAAGGGTGGAGGAGAACCCCTCCTTTCACTAAGCTCAGACAATGTGGATGGGCTCAGAAGGATTAAGGGTGATGGGCAGGGAATAATAGCCAGGAAACAGTCCCAGCTGCTGGAAAACAAATCCACATTGTCTCCCTGCTCCACTCCCAGCATTCCTGATTCTCCCCCCTGCTCCACCCCACCCCCTAAAGGCTGAGCTGGCTGGTTTTCCTGGCCTCTGGCTTCCTAGATAAAGGTCTTTGCCAACTGAGCTTGGAAGTGAACAGGGCTGGGGAGAGGGTTGCAAACTTGTTGTAGCCAATCCCATCTTCCCAGTGCCCGATGAAGGGTCTCAAGTACATCGAGGAGCAATCCCAGTGAGGGAGGTTTATTTCTGGATTTGGGGGTATCTATCCCAGATATGTATCCAGGAATATAACCCCATTCGTTGTAGGTTTCCCCCAGAGTGATGGCTTACACCAGAGGAGCTGCCTTCTTGGTAGAAGGTCAGGGAATACTATCTGTTAGGGGAAGAAACAATTTGACCCAAGTTCCTGAACAATGTGCAGTAGGTTTGTTCTGGAGAGGGTATACCACCATGACTAACTTTTCCCCTCCATTAATGGATTTTCTCTTTTCTCCCCCTTTCCAAGCCAGGTTTCCCCTATGACTCATAGCCTTGGAGTGCCATCTTGGGCCCACCCAATCTGCCTGTTGCTACAACAACCATAAACACAATCCCAAAGCACCTCCCCCCACCCTGGGGACACAGGCCAGGCACCCTTGTCCTACCCTACTTCTCTGGCAGAGCTCCTGAACCAAAGGAAGGGCCTCAGGGGGGTGGCAAGAAGGGAGGGCTCCACTTGTTCTGTTTTCACATTTTTATTAAACAAAACCACCACTCCCAACAGGCTTGGTTTCCAGAGTTACCTTTAATGACCAGGTCTGAACAAAAGCATGCACAGCTTCCCCCACTCCCACCAAGCACACACAGCTCCCCGACCCAGGAAGTCACCAAACCAGGATGAATTTAGAGGAACCCCAGAGAAGCTTCCAGCCTCTTCCACACTACTCCTCAAACTTGCTGTATAAACTTAAGATCCTCTGGCTTAGAAAATTTTATGATTATAATTTAACTGAGCACCTAATATGTGTCTGGTCCTTGGCCAGGCACTTCACATTTGTCAGGGAGGAAAGACAATGTCATATAGCTCTGGACAATGTCATAAGAGCTTTCTTAACTTAGAGCAAACCAGCTCTGTCCCCAACTGGCTGGGAATGGCCAGAGAAGACTTTGGAAAGGTAATTCGGAGACCTAGGACCTGCTCAGGGATGGTGTTAGAAGATGCAGACCGGGAGAGAGGTGACAGAAGGGAAAGGCTTAAAAATTCAGGCTCTTTCTTATGTGCATGACCTATGGACACAGACAATTGTATGGGGAAGGCCTGGGGGTGCGGCAGATGCAAGGTAGAGGGGACCAATGTGGGGGGAGTGGACATCTGTAATACTTTCAATAATAAAGATAAATTTAAAAGACAAAAACAAAAAAAAACCAAGAACAAACTCAGGCTCTCTACTTCAGACTGACAAGACAAGGGAGTGGGAGAAACCAAAGGCAGAGGTTCCTTCTTTTCTGCTCTAGTGTGATTCTCAACAGGGGTGATGTTGTCCTCAAGATGGAAATTGATTCTTGGAGGGTAAGGGGGGTTTTAGATATTATAATTGTTTGGGGCGCTCTAAAGAGTCCCAGTACATACGCAGACATATAGTATAACTGTACGATTAAAATTTCATGGGGAAGGGGACAGTTAGGGGGAAAATGTCTAAAAGGACTGCTCAGGGGGATGATTATGCAAAAAGAAAAAAAGTTGAGAAACACTGTGCCATAGGGAGCCCAGAAGATCCAAGCCAGAGCCAGTTAAAATGTCCCCCTTCTGGCCTCTCTGAGTTGGCAGCTCTTGAATGCCCCACCCAAGGCAGGATCTGGCAAACATAAGGGATCTCTTTGCAAAACATTTTAAAAAAACCTGGAAAAAATAAGTGTAAATGTTTTCCCCAGCTACATGGGGGGGAGGTGGAGAAGGCACAGAACAGACCCCAGGCCTGGGCCTCATGAGGGCTCTCTCTAAAGAGGCATTGGGCCAAACTGGCCTGCCCTTGAGGAGGAGGCAGGAGGGGGGGAGGGAAGGGAGAATCCGAAGCCGTGGCACAATTTCATGCAATTTCATGCAGCGCAGCATTGGGTGCAGCTCAGATATAGTGTTTGGAGTGTCGCTATTAAGACAGAAACCAAGAAGTAGGGGAGGGCCTTCCCTTCACCTCCCACCCCATTGCACACACCACATTTGCCTGAACTCTGCCTAATGCAAGAGCGTCTCATTATACCCATCACCCACCCACTCGGGGCAGTAGCTTGGAAGAGGCCGACGACCATCACGCACTGACCGCCACTAAGCGGTGAGCTGATGGTGGACTGTAGTGACAC